GAGGATGAAGGTGCCGGAGATCATCGAGATGCCGAGAGTGGCTTATCGCATCTGTACTTATTTCATTGATGACTTGAAATCTTACTCGATCTATTCTTAATTTCCGATGGAATCTTTGACTCTTGAAAAGAATTTCATTTCAACGAATTTAAAAGAATAACGTCTTGTTATATAAAATGAAAAAAATGTTTCTCAATATCGTATAATTTTAATTTTTAAGAAATTCTTACGAAAATAGACTTCATGAAAATATCTAGTGTTTAAAAAATTAGCAATTAGATTAATCTATAATTCTTAAGTAACGTTATTCTTTCTATGTTTATCCTTTAACTAGTACACTATAAGTTCCGTTGTAAACGTTATAATTATTGAAAAATCTTTTTCTTTCGAAATATATATTTGCTTTAAATTTTTATGATTAAAATGTTTGATAAAAAATTATTACGGAAATAAATGTCCTTTTTCCCATATTGAAATTCTTATTACACATATTAAATTAAATTATACAATTATTTATTTCAATATCTGCATATATAAAAAAATATGTATAATATTTCTCAAGATTACATAAACATTTATTTAAAATTAATATAAGTATACGAAAATAACACATTATTGATCATTCTCGCTTGCAGAAAATGTGCATCCATTTTTGCGCAAGACATTTCTCGCGCCCTTTCGAACGACGGTATCTCGTTGTATCGCCCACGCTTTACATCTTGATTCGCGAGTGTTACTCTCCATAAATAACGCTCTCGTCCACCTTTCTCACTGAATTTTATCGCCAACCAGCGATATGACGTGAAGCGAAAATTTAATGGCTAACCAGGCTGTACATCCTTCGAAAATAATAGTCGAGAAATTGCGAATATCTCACACAGTCTCAATTCATTTCGATCTTGAAGGATCTTGAAATAAATAAATAATACATATATATTACAAAATTGTTTTCATTATCTTCGACAAGAAATTATTTTAATAATTATTTTAATAATTTAGAACAACAACAGAATTATTTTAATAAAATTTAGGACAATAATTTATCCTTCGTTCGAAGTTTTGTGACAAGTGACAAGTATTATTTCGAAACATTTATTTATGCAGAATTCGCATCTTTTTCTTGCCGCGTGGAATAGTTGAATGACAATGCAATTAATACATTTAAAAAAGGAAGGAATGAAACGTAAACGAGAAGTCGAACGGAAGCAGAAACGAAGCAGAAAGCAAGGAAAGAGAGGGAATTAGCGAGCGGGAATCATGGTGAGCGGGCGTGTGCGATCTGCAAAAGCCCTACGGGTCACTAAACTAAACCAATGAGACCGTGCTGGGATTAAATAATTCATGCTGGGAGCGTAATCCGCAAATTTGTTTAGGATTACGAACGCTCACCGCATTTTAGCTTTACGCCGCGTGCGGTCAAACAATGGCTATCTTTCACCGGTGTCACTGTTTTCCGTATCTTAATATCTCCATTTAAAATGTCTGTTCAAAATGGATTCATTACCTGGATGGATGAATGCTAAATATTATTTTCATGACAAATGCGTTTCCGTTTCGTGGTATCGAATGCTAAATTATCACACTCTGATACATTAAAAGCGATTCTTCCACAATTTTGACTATTCTATTTCTCGAAAATTTGATTAATTATTCAAAATGATAATATTTAATGTACGCGTGCTGTCAAAAAATTCCATTAATCTTAAAATTGGAATATCTAATATTTTAAATATCGCAAGAGTTTTAAAATTATCATATGATATTATTGTCATATCAATATTTTTTTTGCGCGCGTTAATGCGATATTTTTTTACGTCAATTTAATATATATTTTTTTATTCTTTCACAATTTTGACTATCCTATTTCTCGAAAATTTGATTAATTATTCAAAATGATAATATTTAATGTATGCGTGCTGTCAAAAAATTCCGTTAATCTTAAAATTCGGATATCTAATATTTTAAATACCGCAAGAGTCTTAAAATTATCATATGATATTATTGTTATGTCAATGTTTTTTTTTGCGCGCGTCAACACGATATTTTTTTACATCAATTTAATATATATTTTTTTATTCTTTCACAATTTTGACTATCCTATTTCTCGAAAATTTGATTAATTATTAAAAATGATAATATTTAATGTACGCGTGCTGTCAAAAAATTCCGTTAATCTTAAAATTCGGATATCTAATATTTTAAATACCGCAAGAATCTTAAAATTATCATATGATATTATTGTCATGTCAATGTTTTTTTTGCGCGCGTCAACACGATATTTTTTTACATCAATTTAATATATATTTTTTTATTCTTTCACAATTTTGACTATTCTATTTCTCGAAAATTTGATTAATTATTTAAAATGATAATATTTAATGTACGCGTGCTGTCAAAAAATTCCGTTAATCTTAAAATTCGAATATCTAATATTTTAAATACCGCAAGAGTCTTAAAATTATCATATGATATTATTGTCATATCAATATGCTTTTTTTGCACGCGTTAACGCAATATTTTTTACGTCAATTTAATATATATTTTTTAAAATTGTAATGCTCCGTCGCGGGGATTAATTGCGTATCGATGGTGGCCGTCGAGGCAACATTAGATTTGTCAATTCGGCTAATGCTTCGAAAACGGGGCGCGAAAGGGCAACACACGCGGAAACACGGGGGGTACGTCGGACGACATACGGAGGGCACGATGTCCTACATATTCTGCGTGTTCGTTGCTTAACATCGGGTGCGGCCGACATCGGTTCTTTGGTAATGAATAAAGGCGAGATGGGGGGTCCCCCGGCCCTTTTACTTTATCCTGGTGACTCTGAAGGAAGGGGAGAGGGCTAAAAACTAGGCGTCCTATTCGGGAACGGAAACGCAAGTGCTAAATGCGTAATGATCGCTAAACGAAACCACCCCGAGTTTCTAAAGTTGATATACATACATATATTCCTCCACTCCGATGAATGCTTACCCTCTGTCGTAGCCGTTAGGATGACTTTCGACGTTTTCTTTAATTGTCTGCAAAAAAGGAATTTGTAAAACATTAAAAACATAAGAAAATTATATATCCTTTTAAAAACAAAATTATAATCATATATTATATTTTGAACAATTCAATGGACATCGATTGTCCATAAACCATTCTAGACTCACACACAATCTATTAAGAAAAGAAGCTTGGGAGGCTTACATCACACTCAAAAAAATTCAAATTTTGCAAAATTCTTTTCGTAACAGGCTTAATCTATAGATTTTCGTTTGCACATGAGCAGGAATCAGGAAGGGAGCAACAAATTAGCAACAAAAAAGCACTAAATTTATATATAAATTTTATTCGATTGTGCTGAACTGTGCCAGCTTAATAGACGTTCTCCTGGATCCGCTTCATGAGCGATTCATTTGACAGCTAGATCCAAGAATCAGACTCTCTTGACGAGAACGTCGGCTTGGAGCAACCAGGTGGTCGCGTTGTTTGCGCGCAATCGTGCCCGACAAGGCCCGAATACCCGGCTGAAAAGGGAAAGGGAAAAAACGGACGAAATCATCGAGTCGGCTGTTAAAATTATAGAGCGAGAACAGGCGTCGCGATGCCTCCCAGAGCGAGGCGGTATTCAGTCGCGGGGAACCCCCGCGAAGAACCGCGACAATGCGCCCGCCACGCGAGAGACAGAGAGAGGGAGAGACCTCCTTGTTCCCCGCTATATACTTGCCCCCCTATCTTAATCCCATTCGCGGGGGGTCCTCGTTCGTACGCTACTGGTCATTCGTTTGACGAACGTTTGTACACGATCGCGCGAATTGCGATCTAGCGTGTACGCGCCTAATCATGTGGGAGCGAGTCCTGTTGATCTCCTTTCGGGTGATTCGGAATCGATTAGATCCACAAGAAGACTGATATGATTCTCTTTTCCCCTTTTTTTTATTTTGTGTTATAGGTAAAATTATAATCTCTGTAATCTTTTATCTTTCACAGAACATCGAGTCGATAATTAATGTGGTGGTTAGATGTATATCTATTAAATTTTCCTTCTCTGGATGCTACTGGTCATTAATTTGACATGAACATTTGTATACAATCGTGCGAACTTCAATCTAACGTGTCTCCGATTAATCATGCGGTAGCAAATCCTGTTGCTCTCTCCTCGAATATTTCAGACTTGATTAAACCTAAGATTGATATAGTCTCTCTCTTCTTTTATTTATATTATAGATAAAATTATAATCTCTATAATCTTTCTTGTCTGGAATATTAAATCGTTAGTCAAATGCGCGATAATTAAATTTATCAAATGGCATTCAGTAGATTCATTAAATTTTTCTTCTCACAATATCAGATCAGAAAAACTAAATGCGTTACATCATTCAAGTACTTCGAAAAAATTTCTTACCGATATGTGACGAGAAAAAAATTAATTTTGCACTTATCTAACATTCATTTAAAGTCGTAAAAATAATAATAGCAAAATAATATTGCCTGACCGAAACCGCATATGTCTTTTGTAGAAACGTTTCTCCGTCGACGAACGGATTCACTTTCACCCTTTCCTGCGGGATCGTTAACGAAATTGCAGAGAACATACTCAATGTCGATGCGATGTGGCACGTTTGGTCGTGGGAGCCCCCCCGCGAACAACCGCGACAATGAACACCCGTTCGCGGGGGGTCCGTCTACGGGTGCTGCCGGGTATTCGCTCGACGGTGGGCGCACTTCCGACTTCTCGTGTATGTTAGTGTCACTGGACCACCGTGAACAGAGAGAAATGGCGAACTATCTTGATATGAAATGTTTAATACACTTGTACCATATATTAGAATATAATTTATCTCTCACAGTAACGTGTACGAGTTGTAACGAGTTACACTGGGATAGATTGGCGACACCGTAATCTTGTACTTAAAGTTTCTGAATGAATGAAAATCACTCTCACTTATAAATCTTGAATTAAATTTTAATCAAGCATAATATTCAAGAATCAATACACGATGTAATTTCAGGTAGATGCAATACACAAGGAGATTGATCGGTGGAGATGTTTCTTGCTCGAAGATTTCTGTATTGATGCACTAGCAACCATAATGGGGAAGATAACGCACACCTAATAGTAAAGCAGAAGGACTATAAAGGCACATCAGTCTATTTTCCAAGGTAAACCACTTGTTGCTTTCATACTTTAAGGTCCATAAAACGAAAAATTCTAAGAAAGAAATTCTAAAGAAATAATTAAGAATATTCGTCAAATTATATCATCAAAATTACCAAAATCCAGTTACTCATGATGATCAATTGATAAATATATGATCTTAAATATCTAGTTTTTGTGTATAGATCACCATTCAGTAGCAAAATTTTGCTACAAGATATTTGCTGATAATTAAAAATTTTATATGCGCGAAGATAGATTTAGAAAAATTTAATAAATCAGTTGAAACGATACATATAACACTAAAATAATCACAAAAAACCTAAATGTGTATTTAAAAAAATGTTAAAAAGTCTCAAATCAACCTCAATTAATTTTTTTTAATCCTAGAATTATTACAACCTATCTTGCTATAAAACAAATAAATGACACTTGTAAAAAATTAAAATAACGCGCAAAATAATATTCAATGATACATCTTAATTCAAATTCAATATATGTATACATATATTTAATATATGATATAATATAAAATAATAATAACGAACAGGGAGGAAGCAAAGGGAGGAAAGAAATGTTGGAAGACAGTACTCGTCGCCTCGACGCGCTTTATTATTAGGCCACTATTGAGGCTGCCAATCGACGCGGAAATTAATACGCGAGGAAAGAGCCTCTCGTTCGAGCCCTTTAGACTTTGTCCGTCCGCTCTTTACGTCTCGTCGTTTCGCGCGAGCTTAAAAGCGCGGAAACGCGTGCCTTTATTTCGAAGGACTCGCGCCCTCGAGTGGTACTCCGTTCCCTGTCGAGAGTATTGCACTCGACTCCAAACGCGCACGAGGCCAGATGTTTTCAAGTACTCCGATACTCTTTCGTGCAGCACGCGCTAAAAGTTGGCGCTTCCCAAAAGCTGTTTCGACTCGCGACATCAACGACCGCGTCGTCGCCCTTTGAAAAGGGCAGGGTAAATAGCAGCCTTTCGCTACATCTCGAGAGGAGGGAGACTTGAATTATTATTGCATCCTCCTTCCTAGAATTCTTCGATTTTCTCACCTCTTTTAATCAATCTGGGTTATTTGGATACAATCGTTACTTTGGAAAATGGAAGGGTGGGTAAATTAGGAATTTTCGCGTTATTTTTGATCCTCTGCTTCAGATTTATATATATATAATATAACCGGTTACGACGCTGCGAGATCATCACACGTGATACCGTCGAATCGATTTGTGCGGGGTACAATCGAGCGAAGATAGAGAAAGACAGAGATGATTTCTCACGGCATCTAATGCGCGTACGAATTCATCGAGAGAGGCCGCGGTCCATTTCCAGCGCGGTGGGTCCGGCGAAGATCGAAGCACGATGACTTAAAGCGTCTTCGAGTGAAACTCATCTGTTCATTCGCCGGGCAACAATGCCGCGATACAATGATACACACTCTTCCACGAGCGATTTCTTCTTTTTGTCCGGGGCTCTCTTTTACCGCGCCGAATAGAATCGAGCGGTGTCTGATGATACGCGTGTATACTAATCGGGATAACAAACGTGCCGCTTTACGGAGAGAATTTATTTTATATCTTTCCGAGCCGAAATATACAGATCAAGCGTGACAAGTGACATTATCACTTGTATTATTCCGATTTCAGAAAGATTTCGTATCTCTTTAAATATTAATTTATTAAATTGCCGATTGGTATAATTTATATATATTTATATGTGTGCGATTTTTGCACGAGATCTTGCTAGACAAATGTTTGAAATAATGGTTAAATCATGGAGAAGGGGATGCTTTTGTATGCTAGATATGTAGAATGTACCTCTGAGATAGACACAAATTTTTTTCGAAATTTTCTAAATTAATTTTCACGATTGCAATTAATTTGTATTTTTTTATCATCAATCTAAAGCCTTCTATTACACATTTTAATTATTCTTAATATTTATTAATATATCTGTGGAATAATATATTATTTTTACATAAAAAATATATAATTTTATAACTTAAAGAATATTAAATATTTTATAAAAGTATTGTATTGTATAAAAAAATCTTATATTTATATTATATTCTCTTTTCGTCTTTTCATTCCACTATTTGGCTGTCAACGTACATTGTAACATAATATATATAACATAAATTGTACAGGAGAGATTGATAAAAAATGACAAAATTAAACAGTTTTTCTTTAAATTTATCAAATAATAAATCTTCTTTTCTCCTTGACAAAAAATAAAAAATCGAGGTATAAATTAAGAGGATAACGGACGATAACATCACGTTTAGAAAATAAAATGTTCAAGCAATTCATTATTTACAGCATCGTACATCTTTTTGTTACTATCCCAGAAGCGACAATACACTTTCATGTACAGATAAGAATTTATTGTTATACCCTGGTCCTTCGAAGCTACATATTTTCCATCTCGGAAGGAACTTAGGGCGCAATAAAGCGAGCCATAAATCCCTCTATGGAATTACCCCTTTATCGATGTTCTCTTCGCTACAAAACGCGACTGAGAACATCGAAATCGTGAGTGTCCTTTTTGGAAGTGACGCGTAAATTACTTTTATCCGTCGTGTTTCGATTGTTAACCGAACATATACCTGTCTATCAAAAATAATATAGAACGTATTAATCTATTATCTTTTTTTATCTTTTTTTGTTTGATATATCTCAACCAAGTCAACAGCCGTTTTCTCTAACAACGTTTTCTGAAATTTGCACAAAGATTTATGAAAAGAGAAGAGAATGAAACAATTGCTAAATCGCGATTAGTTTGGATAATCAAACAATGATAATTGTCATATTATTTATATTTGATTTTTTATACATAAATTATACATAAATTTGTATTCTCTCTATCTAGTTAATATAGATGATATTTTTTTAAATAAATACGAATACACAAAATAAATTCGCGAATTACTTTGAAATTTGTGAAATTTAAAAAGAAAAACATTATCTATATTATACTGTGACTTTGTCGCCTATTGAAAAACTCTCATTCGTGACATCGATGAGTTCGCATTTAAAAAATCCGGTTCTCTCTGATATCAAGTCACCCACTACTCATGATGCTTGTGTTCGCAATCATGCAATGATGATGCATATGCGCGATTCACACTTAATCGATGCTTTTTGAGGAATCTATCGAGCGGAATATATCAAAGATTTATTCAAAAGATTTATTTTCATATGAAAAGTTTATTAATATAGCTGTGATTGACGACGAGGACGATGATAATGATGATGAAATCGCGCCAAGATTATTCACACGTGACTTCTTGTCATCGTATTAGACAGTTTAAAAAGAATTTAAAAGATATTATAAAGATTTATATAAGGTAATATAGATAGAATAGTTAATATAAAAATGTATAGAGTAATTAAGTAATATAAAAACATTAATGACTCTTTAGATATATTTTAACATTGACTTTTTAATTCTCTCCAATATTCTAATGTTCTTTCTTCCTTCCCGAAAATATTTAATTCTAAGAATTTTTTCGGCAGACTTTCAACTGTCAACACTGAACATTCAATAGACAATGGTTCTCGGGTAACCTTCCAATAAAAATCCAAATTAGAGGCATGCGCCCAATATAGTTATGTGTGAAGGCCAATAGATACAAAGATTTTTTTTTTATCAATTGGTCATTGACATTGGTCATTAATAATAAGTATTAACAATAAATAAAATCACAAAGGCTTTTTTAGAAAACGTCTCATAAAAATTTTACCAGTAATAAATCAACCAATAAATCTTGGAAAATTATTTTATAGGAGATCCATTCGTGTAAATAAGAAGAGAAACCTCCGTGAATGCGTCATTTACGTCCAGACAATACTCGACGAATTAGAATTATTTCTCTAATAAAACCGTGGCAGGTGCTGACATAATTATTTGAGAACGAGAGCTGATGGGTACCAAATGAGAATGCAAAAGTAGGATCGTGACTCGCGTAATAATCTCCCCGAACGGTGTCGTTAGTTTCTTCGTCTCGTTCTCCGACGTTGCACAGGTGAAAGAGCAAGAGACTCTTGTAAAGTCGATTGTCGAGTTCCCGCCCAGCGACTCCTTGGCCAATCGGAAGCGCATGCTTGCTCCCGGTCTCGATTCCTTTTTTACTCTTTAACAGTTACACCAGAGTAGTTTTCTCGTCTCAACGCCATCTTAGCCGGCCGGACATTATTGTCCGGTCTCATTGATTATTCCTCGGAATCCATGACGTCGTCATTTGACGAGAATCCTTATTCACGAGACTTTTTCTCTCTCGATTTTAACTCGATCTTTTGCCTTGCAACGCGCTCCTCCAAGTATTATTCGATCGCTGAGGAATTTTTGAAATTTTCTCAATTTGCATAACGGGGCTCAAGACATTCCTCTCGTCCCACTCTATAAAATGTGCAAAGCGATATTGGTGTAATGAAAAAATCGTCATGTTTAATTATCGAATTATCGCGCTGTCGTTTAATGCATGCCGATTTTTTTAACTGAATTATGCTTAATTACATCGATTAACGCACGCTCGAGTTTCCGCCGCATATCACGTATTTAATTAAAGCGCCTGATGAAATTATACGATTATTATATTGCGAGTAAAAATAACGTTCTCAAGAAGATCGCATAAAATATGAGATTTATACAGCACGGCATTTACGTTCTTCACGGTTGTTATTTTGCCTTCTCAGAAGTTTTTTGGATCTCGATACGAAAATTTTACGACCCAGTTGATACATCTATACTGGTCATCCAATTACATATTCCCCATTTAATTTGTTCATTCATCTTATTGCAAGAAATGCCAAAAGATTGTAATGGAATAAGATAAGATATAGAATAGATAAGATATAGAAAAAGAAGAAAATAATTCCAATTTATATTAAAACATTTATTCCATCATATTAACTCGCGAGATGTGATCTTAATATTCATGAAGCGCATGATGATTATTTTCCACGCGAGTAGATGGTTTTAAATCATCGTCTTATTTTATTTTACGAAACG